CTCACACACTCTTTATGTTTGTTGTTCTGTCTCATTAAACTTACACTTGAAAACTTTTAAAACCAAAAAATAAAAAAATGGAAGGAGGAATACATGGAGGAACAGATGTATCAGCTTTCAGAGAATGTTTCTCTCTAACATGGAAGAATCCTTATGTTCTTCGTCTTGCTTTCTCCGCCGGAATCGGTGGTCTTCTCTTCGGTTACGACACCGGTAAGTACTTTCTTTAGAATCACACACATATATTATTATGTGTTTGAAGTTTCATATAGTTTTCATATATACATGCAGGAGTTATATCAGGAGCTCTGCTTTACATTAGAGATAATTTCAAGACTGTTGACAGAGAAACTTGGTTACAGGTTCTTACAATTATGTGTGAATTTTGATTCATTTCTTAAGAATTTTCTTTAAAAAATGATTGATGTAGTAATTAAGTTGTTTTTCTACTTCCAAGAAGCAAGACATAGATCGTAGTGACAAATTAAATTAATCTTTATAGTTCATAAGGAATTTCAAAACTCGTTAGAGAAACTGTTCTTCTGTCTAATCATTATTTGATTGTAACAAAAAATGATTATTTGCAAAAAGCTCAAAAAGGGTTTAACCAAATTTTGGTGAAGCCATAAATAAAAGCAGATCACAGAAAATCATGTTGTTTTCTGGAATGTTGTACTACACATCATGCCGTTTTTGTATTTACCGTTAAGAACACTAACGGTAAGCTCCAAGCAATTTTTGTGTTTACACATAACGGTCCAAGTTTCATGAGCATACAAAAGCTACAAACAAACACTAAGCTCCAAGCAATTTTGTTTTCAAAAAAAAAACAGGAGATGATAGTGAGCATGGCGGTTGCAGGAGCCATCGTCGGAGCCGCCATAGGAGGTTGGGCCAACGACAAATTCGGGAGAAGAAGCGCGATTCTCATGGCGGATTTCCTCTTCCTAGTAGGAGCTATTGTTATGGCGGCCGCTCCTAACCCGTCCCTCCTTGTCATCGGCCGTGTTTTTGTTGGCTTGGGGGTCGGGATGGCCTCGATGACCGCTCCTCTCTACATCTCAGAAGCTTCTCCGGCTAAGATCAGAGGAGCTTTGGTCAGTACCAATGGGTTTCTCATCACCGGAGGACAATTCTTGTCTTACCTCATTAACTTAGCATTCACCAATGTAAGTGATATTACCCCAAAATGTAACTATGGATGCATGTATAATC